AAATTACATAAATAAATGGAATTTTGAACAATATTCAAATTTTCACCTATAAATCAGAGACATTCTTTTCAAATCTCATATTACAGTGCCCAAAATGTGTTTCAAAACTCCAGTGGGTCTTTCTCTCACGCTATAATCTTATGAAACGCTTCTGTGAGCATCCACAAACATATTTTTTCCATTCAATTTCTGCTCCATTAAAATCTCATGTCACGCCAAACAATGGTGTGTTTTTGGCCATGTGTCTTCAGTGGAGTCCATTCATTCTGCTGCCTGTTAAATCTACTCACACCCACACTGTAATAAGAGCCTATTAAATGATTGCACACAGGCCACGGAGGTTTACTTCACTGGAGAGAACTCGGGGCCACCAACATAGAACCACTCACCAAAAACGGCCTATAATATAAGACAAATGGCCGTCCACAACAGCGTACAAAAGCACAGTCTGATCTTACCTGATGTCATGATGAGCCAGAGCAAGCACTAAACCACGAACCGTCAATATAAAAAATAATTTGCCTATTTCAACCATTTTTACCGGCAGAATTTGTATCCGCAGCTTGGATAGTCATATTAGCAAGGCATGGTCCTCAAAAAAAAATTGCAGATTTTCTTCAAGGTGAATTTGGAACTCCGACGGTGTTGTCTTGTGCCAAAGAGAAATCAAGTGTGCGAGTTTTTGTTTGAAGGAATGGAGAGGGGTGGGAGTCTGGCCGTAAGTGCAGGTTACAAGAGGTAGGTGTGACCACTCACCTTGAAGGACAATGTGCAATAAATATAATTAAGAATAGTGTGATTCATTGTGTAGCCAGAATCAGTTTGCGGGGGTGATCATGCTAAGCCACGCATGTTATGGTATGTGCATTGATTGGAGGTTTATATGAGTGTTTTGGGTATGGAGAAAAGCAGTTGAAAGAAGCATGACATGACCACTGAAGAGTTTGTGTTTGTGCCTGCCTGTTCTGGCTTGTCCCATGTGTCATGTTCACACACAGAATGCCCATGTCCAAGTCCAGGCTCATATATAGTCACAGACTGTGGTCAAGTAGTATATTGTTTAAACTGCATTGGTTTTCAACTGGAACAGCGGCACAAAGGATCCATTACCAACGTATAACCCTAATAAGAATGGAAAAATACTGTATATTTTCATAAATTACTGGTTTATATACTTATTCAATACTAGAAAGCTTAGATTACGAGCCCCAAAACTACAACAGACTATGAAATCAAGGATACGTGTAATGTTTCTACTGTATTCTTGAATATTTGTAACTAAGTAAAGTGTAGTGAGCCTTAGCCTCTCTCTCACTGGGCCTGCTCCACTGCACCGCTGATCATCTTGTTGCTCGTGCGCAGGCAAAATCACAATATTTATTTGTTATGATAGATTAGACAGCTGGAAACATTAAGTCCCTTTCTACGTTACAGCCACAGCTACCATGTCACACAAACACCAACAAACACATCACAAAAAGTCACAAACAAAACCAAATGGAAAGTGTCCATATCTCGTTGGACAGGATGTTATATTGGATACTTCAGGCTATGGACGTTCTGTATTTTTCTAGATATTTTAATTTTGTGACATGTTAGGGCCATGAACCAACTGAGACTCAAAGAAGCGCAGGGACTGGCCTCCTGCTGGGACTCTGCAGAGCATAGGGACTGGCTTTCTGCTTGTGCCCATAATCAGAACTAAGTAGTAAGTAGTAAGTAATCTTTATTTATATACCGCCTTTTCACTGCAGATCTGAGTCTCAAAGCGGTTTACAATTGTTAATTATGGGCATTTATCTCTCACTCCACACAGAGATGGGAGCGGGGTTGCCGGTACAGGAGGCGCATGCCAGACATGCCTATTGGACATATTTTTAGTGGTAGGGGAAACCGGAGTACCCGGAGGAAACCTACGCAGACGCGGGGAGAACATGCAAACTCCACTCAGAAAGGCCCTGGTCCGACCGGGATTCGAACCCAGGACCTTCTTGCTGAGAGGCTAGAGTGCTATCCACTCAGCCACCGTGCCGCTAACTAAACATGGGTAGGCAGCGTTTCAGATTTACCTAGCTAAAATCTGGAACAGTCTTCTTGAAAATATGAGACAGGCTTGTCAAATCCATGTTAAAAACAGTTATGTGTAACAACTGCATACAAGTGAAGGATTTTATCATCACTCTTTTCAATGTGCTGTGATTATTTACTATTTTAAAGCCTTGTATGATTGTTTTTATCTTTTTATTATTAAACGCTTTGAGTTGCCTTGTGTATGAACTGTGCTATACAACAACACACTCGCCTTGCCTTGCCTTGAGTTAACCATTTAGTATGCTATAATAATTGTCAACATATAGTTATAACAGAGTGGGCCTGGCAGAGCTGGGGGCTAAGTGCTCACCAAAAGAATATAAGGAACACTGGTCGGAAATACTCTGAGCTGAACCCTTTGAAGCCTTAACTATTACCAGCTCTGATCAGACTGCAATCAGTGGTATTAGGCTGAAGGAGGGGCCGCCAGCCGCTGGTGGTCCACTCACACCACAATCACACATGTTTGATCACAACATGTGCAGAATGAAGCTCAGCTGGAGCTCCTAAAGTGTGAACCTCTGTACAGCTGTGAGGAAGGCACACATCAAACTGATTAGACCTATTCCCACAAACTTCACTTTATGTCGCTTGTTCAGTCACTTTACCCAAAACCAGATGCCTCTGCTTTCAATTGACACCTCAATTTGTCCAACCTTATGAACAACAAATGGCACATTTTTGGCAGGATCTTCCAAAGCCATCAAGCTAATTAGGAGATTACTGCAGGCCTGGGGTGCTGGATGGAACATGTGTAGGCCTACTGTAAAGCAGGCACCTTCAAATACGCAGCTATAAATCTTACATGCAAATGTGCTGTTTTATAGTACCATTATGTGTAATACACGCTGAGCCTGCTCCATGGAATTTACAAGGCAATAACACAATAATAAATGATATGATAGAATGAAATGCGTAAAAGAACAAAGGCGTTGTTAATCGAAATGAGAAAAGCGCTTTAAAGGGGACGTGTTGTGCAGAAATCAACTTGTTCTCTCTTTTAAGATTAAGATTAAAAAATCCTTTTTGTTCCCACATTGAAGTGAATTTTATTGAAATTTTTGTACAGCTCTAAATTACAACAGCAGTCACCTTGGAGGCACAGTTGTGAATTCGCCAACAACAGATGAGAGAAAAAAATTATTCAAACACAGAAAATGCATTAATAACAAACACATATAGGGAGGAGGATGTCCATGAATGCTTCTAAATGTCCATAAATGTCCCAGTTCAATTCATTTCAATTTAATCTTGTATAGCCCTAAATCACAACAGTTTTCTCGGAGGACTCAACAAAAGTGTTGATTTCGCCAACGCAGATCAGAGAATCAACAGTTCAAACACAAGCGATGAAAACACATGGTCCATAAGGGGCAGATGACAAATGTTCATAAATGACGATAAATGTCCGTAGATCATCACAGTCCTTATAGTGACAAATACAAACAGTGGGAAAAAAATTCCAACTATGTTATAAGTTTGTTCCTCATTAAAAAAATTACATGGAATGGTTTTTAGTTCTGGCACAAACATGTAACTCCACTCCTTTTGTCTAGAAGCTCCTGTCTCAGTCCCACAATAGTATGATGTCATTGTCCCATTATGACATCACACTCAATTGACAATTGATCTTGCGTTCATTTTTACTTTTTCAACACGAAGCAGAGTAACTGGTATAAACTGGTATGAGCAAGAATAAGAGATGACGGTACACGTTAAAGACTTAAACCATCAAATATTGTGTATGATTTGTTTAATTTTCATATTTTGAAAAATACTAAAACTAAAACAGAATATTTTCAATTCCTCCTCTTGTGGTAGCATACAGAGTTGCAGACGAAAAGCTTTTTCTGCTCTTCATAATTGCTTCACCTTATAATTTCTTCTGAAGATAATTCACATTCTAAAACATAAAAGGTCAAAGTAAACAGCTAACCGTGTCAGGTTTAACGGCCACAAATAAAGCACAATGTTTCTTACTCTTTCATGTTTTAATACTTGTTTAAAAAGACAACTGTCACGGGGTGAGATGAATGAGGACTCAAACACAGGAATGCCAAAATAATGATTTAATAAAATAAAATCCGAGGCAAAAAACAGAACTCCAAAAACCAAAGTAACCAGGAACAGAATAGACAATGAACCAGCAACAAGGGAAGAGAAGCACAGGGTAAATATAGACACACACAGACACAGGTGAAACACATCAGGGCAGCCAAAGTATAAAAATATAACCCACACCATGACAACAGCAACTCTCTTATGGCTAAATTATTTTGATCTTTCAATCATTCTGGGGAAATGAAGAATTGTGGATCAGGTGGCCAACTTTGGAATTTCACATGTGCTTACAAAGAGATATTTTTTTTGCCAAACCCCAATTTCATTAATAATAGTAAAAATAATGCATTACTTTTACACAGTGCTTTTTTGGCCACTCAAGATCCTTCACATAGAGGCACCCGATGGCAACCAATATATGCCATCGGCCCCTCTGACCACCGCACACTATAGAGTCATTCTGGGCATTGTGTCTTTCCTACGGACCATCTAATAACAGTTCGGCACCTTACTGTGGTACCGGGTGTTCCCAAAGGTCTCCTATGACAGTACTAACCAGGCCATGCTATAAGATAAAAGAACGGATGATTGACATTGCAAAAACCTGTCCATGTAAATCTAATTATATTTTCATATTTCCACACGTATCCACCAGCAGAGCCATTTGCATTGGATGTTTTTTTGTCAATTGTGTCACCAGCCCAAATCAGCCAGTGAGGTGGAAAGAAACCATAAAACGGCTGTGCGTGGTTTGCCTTGACTCAGGGCCAAAACCTCAGCGCATATCTGTCATACACGATACAATTAAAGTTAATCCGGCCTGCCAAAGTGGGAAGGCGGTGGGCAGAATGGAGAAACGAGGTGGCCGTCAGCGGAGAGGCCCGGCTCGGTGTGTGGCAAGTGCCGTCAGTCCCATCTGCCAGGCGATGGAAGCAGATCAAGATTTCACCATGGGCCAAATCTTCCACTCCTCCTCCTCCTCTGACCACATTAGAGGTGTAACGCATTGGTGGTCTTTGATTCCTCCACTTGAAAAGGGACGCCCCACAAAGAGATCAGATGTCATTTGGAACCCCCTCCTCTCCCCCGCCCCCCCCTCCCGGCCCCCACCTGCCTTCAACTATAACATACTCCTCACCAATGATCAGTTGTGAGAGAATTCCGTTTCGTGGAAACACACGGACAATGTTGGTGGTCAGCGCCGCAAGCAAAAGAGCCTTTCTGATTCTGTTAAATATTACTTTTACATATGTTCTAGTGACATGCGGTCGCTGCTTGATGATTCAAACACGCAATTTGATTTATTTTAAAGATATACTGGATTTTTTTGTGTGTGCTTTTTGCCCAGAACATAAAGAGATTAAGGACCACCAATGAACTGTAGTTCCAATGCACCGGGCCATTACAGTACGTTTGGACAAGCTTTTTATTGTAATGACTAATCATATGTTTGGAATGGACATGACCACTAATTGGAGCATTTAGGTATAAACATAGCTGTTTTACAAGTTGGTGGTTAAACTATTTGACCATTTTCCTTCCAAAATATAGGGTAGTGAAGTGAGAAATGAAAAAGGAGACACTTTACACAGTGTTTTATGATATAAGTAATCAGGAGAGGAAAAAAAATCTCATATTCTGCTCTGTGCTCGAGTCATGAGTCGGGAAATCCACAAGTAGAATTTCCCGTTGTGGTCCTGAGTTGAATTTAGCGGTGGGGAATTTCAGTGGATCTGACATAGCAAACACAGTTGTCCAAGAAAAGTCCTAATATATGAAAAGGCAAATTATGCTGTCAAATATGTCAAGAGTTGCCCCAGAATAAAGTCATATGAGCAATAATAGTCTTTGTGAGTAACTTTGCTGGCTCTTGGTTCTTGGTTCTGCTCTTGGACTCTCTTCAAAAAAAAAATTGATCTAGGGGATTTTTCTGATTAGATAAAAGATAATAAATTCCAATGTATTGAAGTGCACATGTGAAATTTTGTCTGCCACGTCAGCGTTGTTAATTTACAGTCACATCTTCAGATATTGGTAGAATGATGATGATTAATTTGATAATCGGCCAGTGAAGATGAGATGTATTTCAAAACAATGTTACTGACAAAAGCAAGGCAACCAGTCCGTGCCCCCAGACTGGCCCCTCCGACCACCAACGATCCACACACACACCAGACTCATTCTAGACAATGTGGGTGACGTGTCTTGCCTGAAGACACAATGACAGTTTGACACTCGACAGCTGCCTCATTGTGGCACCTGGTATTCCCAAAGGTGTCCCATCACAGTCCTAACCAGGCCCTGACTTGCTTAGTTTCTCAGGTCAGAGGGTTACATTGTCGTGGTGAATAGAACACAGGTGCTATGGTCATGTTTTTGAGACATCATGTTTGGTGTAGCGCCAACCCAAGCAAATCATTCTGACCACTACAATGATCAGTCCAATCATGGGTTAAAACCAATACCAATAAATGAAATAGGTAGTTTTTCTGACCAATGTGATTTTTGAGTGTTCTTTCCCTTTTCTGAAGAGCGCTGGTGGGTGATGGAAGCAGACAGGCAGCACATAAGTCTGCCACAGAGAACTGATGTTTTATTCTAATTGTAGGGTTTTGTAATCTGTTGGTGAATCAACAACTCTGTGACATGATTGCGGCTGTAAAGCAAATTTCAGTGACTAGAAAAGCGCTAATACATTATGAGATTTTTTTATTCAGGAAAACTGGGAAATCTATTAAGCATGTGATACAACAATCTTCTACCTAACATCTGTGAAATTCCTTTGTGGCAAGCCCTGCACAAATTAGCAATTAGTTACTAGAAACACACAGACATCCTGACAAATGCTACTGCAGACTTCCACATATTCAAATTCCAGACTGAATACACACGAATAAGTCAACTGATCTCAAAGAAAACAATAGCTGTTATTCTATTTAAGACTTAATTATACATTAGCTGATTGAATGAAAACAAAACAAAACCTTTTTCGTGGACACACAAATCTTTATTTTTGCCACATTTAAAGCTGGCGTATCCTAACTTTCAAAGCACGACAAAATAATAACATACATCCGACTTGTCCCTCGTTTTACAAACAGTTTGATTTTATCACTAGTTTTTACATGCATGTATTTTTGAGAGGACCACCCTGACTCAGCCAATCAGCTCTTAGTTTAAAGCGTCAAATAGGGATTCACACGGCTTTTTCTGGCAGAAGATAACATGTTCTGGTCTGATTTGTTCATAAGACTCTTACTGGGATAAACAAAATGTAAAATTCATGGAGAAAAAAGTGAGGGATTCAGCTTTAAGCCCATATAGGCAGGTTAATGTTTTTCCCAGCAGCTGACCCCAGGAAGAGTTGATGGACAATGTGAGGTCGGAGTGGTCCAGGTGTGAGAGGTGAAAGTTGCTGGGTCAGGGCTGAGGTCAGCCTGTGGGACACCTGCACAGGCCTGATGAGGACAACAGAGGTGCCAGGACAAGTGTGAAGCAACCCTCACTCCATTCATCAAACTCACCGCCTTTGTCTCTGCATTAGACCCTATGGGGAGCTACGAACACAGCACCGTAAGAATGTCTTTTGTCTAAGCTCCAAACTTCACTTGCATGTTATTGTTAAAACACTTCTGGTGAAGGCTCCATGACCAGATTTTCTATTATTCATCTATTATTGCCAACAACTTATTTTCCGTTACTTTTTGTGAATGCAACTATAAACGAAACATATTTGAACGTGTGTTTGTATGTCTGTATGTATCTGTATGCATGCAGGTAAAACTTATTAAACTTCTATTTTGAAATCAAACTGTAAGTCATAATTATATATTAGATATTATAAAAAACAAACAAAGGCCCCATGCAGACGACACGTCAGATCTATGTCTCACTGACTGCAGCAGATCAGTGAGTGGATGCAAAGCAACTTTCTTCAGCTAAACCAAATAAATGTCTTTGGTCCCCAGAAATAAAAAGAGACCATCATCTGGCACCTCCAGTATCTCCCTAACACCTTCAAATCAGCTCAGAAATCTCGGGTTATGATGTTAATAGCCACATCAAATGAGTAACATCAGCAGCTTTTTACCATCTAAAAACATTGCTAGGATCAAAAACATAGTGTCTAAATCAGACCTGGAGATTCTTATCCATGCATTTGTCTCCAGTAGGTTAGACTACTGCAATGGCCTGCTCACAGGTCTGTCCAAACAGGCTGTAAAACAGCTGCAGTACTACAAAATGCAGCAGCTCGAGTCCTGACTAGAACCAGGAAGTACGACCACATTAGCGTGATTGTACCTGTGGTAATGTTAAATTGTACACTGTCCCTGCTCAAATAAAGTACATACCATACTATCAGTCCAGTCCTCAGGTCTCTGCACTGGCTTCCTGTGGCTTAGAAAATAGACTTTAAAACAGCTCTGCTTGTGTACAAGTCTCTCGTGGCATTGCACCAAAGTACATCTGTGACATGTTAGTCCCGTATGAACCAACTGGGGCTCTAAGGGGCACAGGGACGGCACTCCTGCTGATGCCCAGAGTCAGAACTAAACATTCTCTGACAATGTTTAAAACCAGGTTAAAAACAGTTCTGCTCAGGATTTTATCTTCACTGTTTTGAATATGCTGTATGATTTTTATGCCTTGCGTAACTGTCTCTGTTTTGTTATAAACTGTGCTATACAAACGTGCCTTGCATAAACTTTCCTTGCTTCGAGATATGTCACTTTGCATTTAATCAGTTTGTATCATTAGAATTGAATTGATTTTTTTTTATATTTCAAATTCCTAATATGAATGAACTTATTGAGTATGTCATAGTAAATACAATATCACATATGAAATGCATAGCAATAACTAAAATAAAGATTTACATAAAATAAGATATGATTATTTGACATATAACAAAAGTGTAATGGGAACTTATTAACCCCACCCCTTTTCCACTGTCGGTTCTGTTTTAACAACATGTTTATCTGGATTTACATAATACTTTTTCACAATACCAGATGTTTACAAAAACTCAGTATGTCACAATGTGACTCTCATAAATTAAACAAATAAAATAACTTTGACCTCACTATACCGAACTAAAAGATGTATAGTATAATATATGGTTGGAAGTGTGAAATTGGTGAATTGGTATTAATTTACTAAAGTTGATACTAAGGTATCAACTCCATCCATCCATTTTCTTCCCCTTAATCCATTTCTGGGTCGGGGGGTGGCAGTCAGAGCTGCACCCAGTCCACAGAGCACCAGCCCCTCACTGATCCTCCTGCAGGTGGTGAGTCCACAGGAGCTGAGATCTTTCAGCGGGGGCTTCAGGCAAAGTGTGTCTTGCCCAAGGACACAACAACAGCAGTCATCAGTGGGAGTTGTGAAGTAGGTCTTTTGGTGGGCTCGAACCCATGACCTTCAGGCCCAAAGGCCAATGCTCTACCAAAGGTATCAACTCATTTTAAGAATATACTTTTTTTTAGTTTATGTAAACCACATTTTATACTGTCCACAAGATGATTTATGTGTTTCTTTTCAAATCACTGAAAAATGTAACATGTAATAAAATCCATCTGAGTTCCTCGCTCTCAAAACAGTTTGATTCAATCACTTGTTTTCACATGCTTGTATTTAACCTCTTTCACATATTTTGATCAGCTTTTTCAGGGGAAAAGAGAACCAACTTCACTCAGCTCAAAGCGTGATCCATTCAGTTGTCCTGACCAAGTCCAGCACTTTGACGACCACTGCTCTTGCAGAGACCCTAGGGGCATTTTACAGTGTTTCCAGTGATTGACAATGATGGCACGCCTCATTGTCAATCACTGGAAATATTGCAAATCATACATTAGTCTTGTCAGGAATAAAGACAGCTTAACTAAGCAGCTCATACGAGGTCCAATTTTAAAACAATTCAGGAAAAGATTAAGATGAATTATTTTTGAGCGAATGATACTGTAGGTGTAATAGTCAGGGAGAGAACCGGTGTTTTTTAGGTGAGCTGGCTGGTAGAGCAGATGCATGTGTAATTAGATTAGATCAGTGTCTCCCAAAGTGGGGTCCGCGGCCCCCTGGTGGGCCGCGAGGGTACTGCAGGGGGGCCGCGGGAAGTCATAAAAAAAAATATATATATATTTAATGTTAAATTTAT